AAGAATAAATAAAAGAGCTTTAAGGGTTTAAAGACCTTAGAGAAAGATAAGACAGAGTAATACAGTATTTTAAAAAATCTAAGGGCAAAGGTTTGTAGGGTTACTTTTGGTAGAGGAATTAGGAAAGGCTTCTCTGAGAAAGTGATCTTGCATGACAAGAAGACAGCCAAGTAAAGATCTGGGTGTTGCAAGCAAACGGAAAAGAGGAATCACGTGTGCTAAGGTCCTGAGGAAGGAACAGGGTTGATGTGCCAGGCAAAGTTCTAGAAGGCCAATGTGACTGGATTACAGAGAATGTGGGCAGAAATGAGCAGAAGAACATGTAGAGTATTGTAAGCCGTAGAAAGGAATCTGGACTTTAAGTGCAGTGAGAGTTTTAAGAGCAAGGCCATAGATCTGATTTATCTAAAAGATCTCTCCTGCCACTGCATGGAGACTAGACTGGAGAGGCGTAGTGTGAAACACAGAGACCAAAGATTTAGTACTTTTGTGTCCACATATTGCCAGGATCTCAACTTTGAGCCATATCTCTGAAAAGGCTCCAGAGACAAGATAGTTATAGAATGAGAGCACAGCCTCCATTTCTCCTCAGCCTCTGGCCTTTTCCATTCATGGGTGCACCTGTCAAGCCGAAAGGTAACTAGAGACAGGAAGCTGAAGATAAAAACGAATCTATCTTGGTTAAAAAAGAGTGAGTCCCTAAGCACAAAAGAGCTAAAGTCTCTCTTAATAGAGCTCTACAAAGCAAAGAGAGTCAGCCAGATGGACCTAAAAATCAGAAAAGAAGTCTGCTTACTCCCTGCAGTGGTTGAAGGAGCTATCCAGGGTGCTGGAGTGTCTCACCCTGATGCTTTCTAAGGTGGTGGATCAGGCTTTCACTTATCCTGGTTGGACTTAAGGCTCCCACTACCTTGAACCATGATCAGACTCCACCCTGAAACCATGTCCTCTTGGATTCAGCTAACTTTTAAAGCAACACCTATCTGGGCCATGTCGTTTGACCTAATTTTAAGCATCTTCTACACATGCCTTAAAGAGAGAATATGAAGTGGCAGCATAGATAAAGGTAAATAGATAGGCTTAAGCCTCCACTGTGCCTCATGACCATTTGAAATAATATGTAAGAAAATCGGTGAGCTCAGTGGAGTCTTTTTTTCTTGGAATAATACTCAAAGGTAGCTGGCTGCTGCGCCTATAACCAAATCTGCTTATATAACTCATCCAAGAGTCTCTGCCAACCACATATCTTAAGGAACACTGCTGCTTCTTCATCTGCAATGATTAATAAATTCATAGAATCTCGAATTTCACCCTTCTGCCTTAAGTAGCATCCTTGACATTGCTTTGAATGAAAAAAAAGTATGTTCAACTGGAGGCCATTACTCAATTTCTTGAGTAATCAAGTTTGTTACACCAAGTAGTGGATGAAAATTTGTATGCTTTCAAGTCAAACACTTTACCTCTTCAACTAAGCCACTTAGAGCAGTAGAGTAATCTGATGGATACTCATTTCTATCTCTTTTCTTAAGTAACAAGAAAAACAGGGAGAGCTACAGTATCTTCAGAACTTTCTACCTGTATGTCAGACTCTTCACTGTCCTTAAATAGGTTTGAGGAGCAGTGTGATTTATAAAGAGCCAAAGAAGTTCAGTAAACTTTTTAGTTGCAAGTTATCAAGGCTATGATGAGAAAATTGGACTAGAAATCATGAAACTTGCTCTGATAGTTTCTTTTAACCTGCACGAATAATTCAAATACATGGAAATGTCATTAAAGTAAAAAGAAAATAAATTATTTTGTTTTTACGCAGTCTAAGAATAAATACATGGCACAAGAATGTCTTTTTCTTAATCTAATGGTAAATGAGCTTTTGTTAATCTTTATTCACGGAACTCCCTGATTTCTATCTTACCTCCTTGACTTTGCTCATATGCTCATTCCTATGACAGAACATTTATTCCCTCCTCCTTCATTTTCCCCAGTTTTCTCATCCTCCCAACCTAATCTCAAATCAGGAAACTTTGTTGGAGCCTGATTCCACCCCCACCAGGACTGAGTGAAGTCTGGACTCCTGTAAGACCCTGAACTCACCCACACCTTGACACTTGTCACACTGAATTTGAATTGCTAGTTTATTTGTCCATCTCTCTCACTACTGTATAAGCTCTATGAGGGCAAGGACCATGTCTTTCCTATAATTATATTTCCAAGGCCTTTCACAATGCTTTACCTAGTAGAGGCAATCAATGAACAAATAAATGAATTTGTGAACTTAATCATTTTTAAGGTCCCTCCCTCTCTCTAAAAATTAATAACTCTGCGTTGTTTCTAGGCTTCTTCTAGAAGTTTGGAGTTAATAGTCATCTCTTTTAAGTGACTTCATACCATGATGAAAAGGTCTCTGATGCCAGGTAGAAATCCCATTTTTACGCAATTTATGTAGTACCATTTATAGTACAATGAAATCCTACTATTTAGTCTGTATATACACGATAGAGATAGGATACATATTTTACGTATCAGAGAGTAAGCAGAATTTTTTTTTAAATATTTGAACTTGATTTAGTGCCATAGCAATAAAATATTTATTTTTACAAACTCACATTTCTTTCATTGATTTTTTTATAAGTATATATTTTTTCTGTTTCCTGTTCTGATGCTTTAATTCTTAGAGACAATACTAAGTTTTATGTGAAGTTATATCGTAAATTTCTAAGTGCTAAATAAATATGGTAAAAATAATTTGTGAGAATATTGCCATTGTTTCTGGGAGTAGGGTGATTTCTAGCTTCGATCTTAGTAATTTTACATATATAACTGATGATATTTTCTTCTCTTACATTCATCTACTGTTTTCCTTATCTGTGTAATGCAGTAGCACGACATCTATACTGAGCTACTAATTATATCATGAGAACAATTACCTTTGCTTCCTCCAGTAAATTTCCTAAGTAAATTCTAAATTTTGTGGAATTTTAGATTGTCTTACCCATATTTTGATTTCACTCAAACATCTAGCACAAATACAGAGTAAGTTCTCAATAAATATGAATAATCAAAATATTAGATTTAGAAACATCTATTCCCTTCCCATCAATTAAATCAAGGGTCAACAAATTATTGCCCGCAGGCCAGTTCTTGTCAGTTACCTGTTTTTGGATATAAAGTTTTATTGTCACACACCATTTATTTGCACTTTGTCTATGACTTCTTGCACATCACAGAGCCAGAGGTGCATAGCTATAACAAAGACTGTATGGCTTGCAAAGCCTAAAACAGTTATTATCTGGTATTTTGCAGGAAAACTTTGCTGACTGCTGCTCTAAATCATTTTTCCTAATGAGGGAACTGAGTCTCAGATAAATGACTTGCCCAAGTTTGTAGGCTAACCAATCCACTAATCCTACCTCTGTCAAATAATTTTTCACCACCCAATTAAGAGCTTAGAGTAAATAATGATATTTTAGATTATATAAAATCAAATAAAAAGTAAAACTACAAATAAACATGACTATAAAAAGATCTTTAAGGGCTTATACTGACTAACTTAAACCAAAATATAAATATCATTTTTCTAAATTAAGGTAGAATCAGCAAGTACAATTAAATAATATATGTTGCTGTATACACATATGTATATTTTATATACATAAATATACATATACACATAAACATATATATTTATATATAAATGTATACATATTTATATATGTTTATATAGAAACAAAATTTTACTATCAGAGAATATCATTAATTTTATTAAAATCCAGCAAACAAGTTCAAGTTTCACAATAGATTTCTAAAAGATGTTGGAAGTAATAATTGTCAAAACGATGCTTTTTAAATGAACCAAACTGACCTCACATATTACTCTATTAGATAAGAACATCTTTTTTTAAAAAAATCCACCTCATTGGCAATGGAAGGAAAAATAAATACTGTGTGTCCTCTCTACCTGAATCCCATATCAGAGCAGTGAAGAGCAGTGGAAAGTCCAGGAGAATCACTTCTTCGATCAGTAGATTGTACTTCAAGTTACTTAAGTCTGTATTTCCACCAAGGAAGTCATACAAAAATTCCATCAGAAATGTTTTTAGTATTTATATACTAAGCTTTGCTTAAGCTTAAAAGACAAAGGAAAAAGAACAGAGAAAAATGCTCCACTGTTAAGACAAAAAGAGATTCAGTGAGCCTAAACTGCTATCAGACCTCTGTGCCTGTCAAACAAAGGATCTTTAGCAAAGATATTTTAGGTAGTAAAAGTGATTGATGTTCCCCCCAGGGTATCCTCTAATACAACAATATAAACACTCTTGGAGCGGAAATAAAATGTAACTGGCTGTATATCAAAGAAGCTATACTTGGTAAAATATACACAAGAAAAGGATCAAGGCAGACAGGTGAAAGAAATGCTATGGGTGGTACTAATAGCTGTTTCATAAAGTACAGATAGGTACTTGACCCTATTACAAGTCGCCGGTTATTAAGCCTTCTCATTTTAGCAAAAGGTCATATCATTCATTGAGACAACAAAGATGGAAGAAGAGCAAGAGAAGAACAAGTTCAATCAGAACTGGTCTGGAGCAAAGATCAGAACAGAATACTCACCTAGACAAAGCCAAGGTAGAGAGGTAATTGTGTATAGACAATTAATATCACACTACATCATGTAAGCCTATTGCCAGCAATACATAAATATCCACTCGCCATCCCCTATCAGGGCACAGACAACATCTCTGAAAACAGCTATTGAAACCCTCTTCCTGTAGAGATGCTCTGACCAAATGAACGAAGCATAATTACTCAGCCACAACTGCCCTGCCATTTGTCAATTCCTTCTCCTCAGCGCCTGTCTTTTCTCCATGTTTCTACCAAAGATACTAATAGACCTACTGGGTTTTAGTGTTTTATACAAGTAGCTGTATAAAACGCTTTCCTTCCTCACTTGCTTCCCCTCTCAGGATCAAAAATGGAACATGTTGTTTTCAACACACTATTACCTTGAATACTTCTCTTGAAGAAGGCCTTACAGCCCTCGCAGGACCAGACTCCATAGTGGTAGCCTGAGGCATAGTCATTGCACACTGCACAGTAGCGAGTCTCCTTGGCAGATTCCATGGCCATGCTTCCCTTCTCACCGGTGCTGGCCAATCTCTCTCTGCCACTCTGGCGCCGATTATCTGAATTTGGCCTGGGAAAAAATAAAGAGAGAAAGAAAGGGTTGGGGTGGGAGGAGTAAGGAGGGAGGAAAGAAGGGAGGGAAAAAAAACAGTGAATCCATTAACATTAGAAAAGTAAAACACCCACTCTCCTCTAAAGAACAAGAGGCTTGGGAAATGCAGCAGATTCACTTTATTCTGACATTTTGAAATAATGAATCATAATGTAAGCTAATCCTTCATTACCTTTGCCGTCTGTCACAGCAAAAGGTGTTCGCCTGTTATATTAACCTTGAAGGAAAATTGTTTATTGCAAACTTGTTCAAAAACTGGACTGCCTACACCAGAATGTTATTCAGAAAATTACAAAATGAAATTAGCTGGTTTCTAATTGGCTTAGTCAATTTTTTCAGGAATTCCCAATTAACTCAAAACAATTAGAGACCCATGCTCATTCCAATTCTAGACCACATTCAGAGTCTTTAGGAAACAAAATATAAAACATCTGGGACATTTGAAACTCAGGTGAACTGATGAACGACATAGAACTTGTGTAGAAAGCTAATTCACATTTTTACATCATTGTCACCAGGCAACCCTGGATATCAGTTTCTATAACGTGACTATAATTGAGGATACTATTCAATATCTAAAACTACTCTGTAAAAGCATGTAGAATGAAAAGAGAACACAGATGATTAGGCCAATGTTTAAAGCCTTCATGAAGGAAACATATCCCAGAAAGAAAATTGGGAAGTAACAGCGAGAAAGTTCTGAGAGAACCAAAGAAATGGAGAAGTAAAAAGTTTTCAGGAACTAGAAAACTTAAGAAGAAGAGAGTGATCACTAGTGCCAAATGGGACATAAAAGTCCAATTAAACAAGGACTGGTAAAGTGAAACTGGATTTGACCAAGAAGATACTTAGCAAGGAGTTTCAGTAGACGGTGTGGGCACGAGCCAAAATTCAGTGGGTGGAAAAGTGGGTGGACTGTAAGAAAATAAAAATGAGTGAAAGCCATTCCTTTGAAAACTTGGACAAGAATGGGAAGAAAAGAGATAGGATGGTCGTTAAAGAAAATAAAGATAAATAAGGATTTTTATGATGAAAGAGACCTGAGAAGGTCTCATGTAGATTGAAAGGAATGGGCCAGTAAAGAGGAAATGGTTGAGGGTACACAGTGGGGGAATAGAGCAGTCAGGATTAAAAACACAGGTACAAGGAACAGTCTCAATGAACACACCTCAAAGCTGGGAGAAAAAGGTAAGGAAAGTAGTAGATGAGACTAAGTTTTCATCTCTCATCTAACCAGGCATAGGAGGAGAAATTATATCAATCCAGGATTTGCTAGGTGCAACCAAATAAAGATGGTATAAGAGAATTGGGGGCATATGGCCAGAGCCCAGGACTTGCCTGATGTGTAGTTTGCACTCAATATATATTTAAATGAATGGAATTGTTCCAGGGTGTATAGGGAAAAAGAGAATGAGAGAAGTAGAAAGATGTTAGAAGGATAGGTAGAGTGAAGGTTCCTATGAGATAAAAACAAAACAAAACAAAACAAAAAAACACTAGGATGAAATAAAGTGAATTGAAGATAGAGCTCCCAGGGTCTCAGTTCAGGAAACTCAAGCTTTCTGCTTCCAATCCCCACCCAAATAGCCAGACCACACTGACTTTCACTTCATAAGCCCTGTCTTTCCTTTCAGCTCAAATTTTACAACCCCCTTCTTTCCTTCTCACTCATTAATATTGTCCACAATTTTGTGGCAGTGGTTCTCAAACTACACCTGCCATAACAGTCACAAAATACTGGCTCCTTGGGTTGAGTGCCTCTGACTTTGCCATTTTTTCCACTCTAAATCACTTAGCTCTTAGGTCAGCAGCCTCAAATAGGAGTTCTTTATTTTTTAATATCCTTAGAGAGCGCTGGTTTGCCTTTTCCACGTCTAGTTCACATTCTGTTGCCCATGCCTTTCCATTTCATCACCATGTTGCCAAACTGCCCCCCATCCCCAATCCACCTCAAATCTTTTTACTGTTTGTTTACTAATATCTTATGCACGATTCAAGTCAGTGGAAGCAGCTGTGAATATTTAACTATAGAAGCTCAGTGCCTTTGGGGGTGGGGGGATGGTTAGTAAGCATGACATTGACAGATTTAATGTCTTACAAATCTTATTAAGTATGTAGCCCCAGTAACCAGCCCAATGCCCAGCACGTAGTAGGTATTCAATACATGTTTGTTGAATAAATGAATGAACGAATGAATAGTATATGCATTGGCAAAAGTTCCAAGGTGCAGCTGCACTATTTTACCTTCCTATTTTCAAGAATTCCCATTTTTCTGCATCTTTCCCAACACTGTTTTTTTAATAGTAGCTATCGTAATAGGTTTATGAGGTGATTTTTGAAATTTAAGGTCACCTTTTGCATAAATTCCTCTCTTACCAGCCACTCCTAATCCCCACACACTCGAAATAATTTATCCTTGATCTGAACTCAGTAGCAGGTTTTTCTTTGCTTCTCTTCTGCAACTTACTACCCTCCTCCTTCAATCGTACATTCTTGCTTTAGTTGTTATCTGCTAAGTTCCTTGTGCCTTATTCATTTTTGGAATCCTAAGTTTATAGCATAATGCTTCTTCTAAAATAGGGTCTCAAGAAATAGTGATATCAAATGAATTAATCAGTGACTGAACCACTAAGGTGATAATTTCACGACAATATAAATGAAATACAGGAATATTGTTTTTCAAAGTATCGGTAAAAGATGTAGTAGAAAAGCTCTTTTTCAGCATATCTAGCAGAGATGATTGCTTTCAGCAAAATGCCTTTCATCCATACTTTATCTTTGAGATGGCCCTGGAATACTAAAAGTATACCGTAGACATAGGGCATAAAACCAGAAGGCATCCAAAAAAAAAAAAAAAGGCCATAGATCCTCTCCACAAAGCAACATTTTTATCCAACTTGGAAATTCATGTGTGTAACATTGTCAATTATCACTTCAGCCGAGCCCTGCTCTATGAAGATCCCATGAAGAAGAATATCATTCAGGTCAAGCTAAAAGGCAGGTAAGATCATCTCATGGGCCCAAAGCCCTGTGGCACCTTGAAATGTGTTCAGGTTATCTTTAGTATTCATTATGCCAAACTATATAAGATAAGGCACAACTGCCTCCAGACAGAGTACTGTGTCCTCAGAATGCAGAGTAACTTGGCCTTATAATCTGCAGTAGAAAGGAAAAGAGTGGAAGGTGTCCATGTCTCAATTCAGACCAAGCCACAAGGATGGATAGGCACCAACCTGTGGGTAGTCTCCAGGGATAAGTCTTTAGGGGTCCTGGACTCATCCCTTCCTGCTGCCCTCATCCTGGCCTTGCTGAACTGCACCTGTCACAGACAGCACTTTTACTTCACATTTCTTTGGTAGAAAGTACTTACATCATGTTTAGGGCAATCTTCTGTTCGCTCATCCAGCCTCACAGGCCCTTTGATTTCTCCTTATTTTTATAGGACCAAATTAAGTTTTCTCATTTTCATGTTCTAAATGTCTTCAAGTCCTTTCTCCCTACTAAGAGGCTGCAGAAACGCTAGTCACATCCTTATCATTTTATTCTAAGTGAAGATTTAATTAATTCTTTAGCCATATTGCTATAACATTTCCCTCTTTGCAAAATTCTTATCCCTTTCTCATCGAATTGTCACCAAACCTTTATAACTCCTCATCCTGGGCACTTTCTCATAAGACCCAGATAAGAAGTTGACTAATTTACCAAGCTATGTAATTAAGACTTTTGATGTTCTTCAGCCTCACACATAGCCTTAAAGACTTTCTAAAAAGAACTAGGGCAAAAGCTTAAGTAAGAAGTGGAGAGATGTTTTGCATCAGTGACAACACACTGTAACTCCGAGGCACGCAAGTAGCTGAGGAACAGAGTAACAACAGGGAAAAGGATGACAGGGCATGAGAGAATGGATAACAAAACACAACACCACGGCACCTATGGAAACTAGAAGCTCAACTGACGAGATTAAGTTCCATCTTCATTACATCGATTGAGTACTAAATATTTCCAAATGGATGCCCTACTTATATCACATATTCGGTATAAATAAGAGAGATGTCTGCAGCATTCATGTGGAGTCCAGACAGTGAGCTCTCTTGGACCAAGTAAAAACAGAGTGTAATAATAAGTATTTCCCAGGGAGATTTTCATTAATCAAAAAAGTTTGAAGCTCAACATAATCAAACACTGTTGTTTTTCCAACCATAAATCATGATACCAGCCATCCAAAAGCATATTCTCTTGATTAGCCAAGCATTTTTTTTTATATTAAAAGCTTTGGTTTCTAGAGGAAATATTTGCATAGCCAAATTAAAAGAACCAATAGATGTCCACTCCCTAGATATGTGGAGTAATGAACAGCTAGTGGGATAACTTCATGGGGCTCCCTCACAAAATCCAGTCCCCAGAGTTCTGTGCACTCAAAGTTCCTACGCCTTCCCTTCACGGCAGTTACCACGATTTCCAGTCCTATGGTTAAGTAATTATTGACAAACATATGTTCTCTCTAGTAAACAGAAAATTCCATGAAGACAAGGATCATGTCTCATCTGATCCCAATTTTAACTGACACACCATACGTCTCAATAAATACTTGTTAAATGTACCTCCTACATCTAATCCATCCTCAAATTTAGTCAATTATTTCTTCAAAACACTATATCTATTCTTCTTTGCATTCCTTGTTTTTATTATTCTAGCCTGAGAGATTAATACTCCATGTCTGAATTACTAGAATTAGTCTCCTACCTCCCATCACTCTTCAAATGCATCCTGTCAGCCACTGCCAAAGGAATCATCACAAAATACAACTTTGGTCTTTTAATAACTTCTCGTTGCCTATATCTGTGGATTATTACCTTTCTGGGGGGGTTGAGTAGGGAGGTTATAGACCTATTTGAGAATACAGTGAAAATTCTGAAACGATCTTTTCTGGAAAACACATAAACAAACTCTCAAATTTC